ACATGTAGTTACTGCATGGGATGGGGAGGAAGTTTTTTAAATATTTTTAGCATACAGAGCATTTTGTTTTCATGCAGTGCATCTTCCAAGACCATGGCATACAATCTAACAGATGGAACTTTTTTGCCACATCTCTTGGAAAAGGTGCCGTAGACGGCATTGGGGGGGACGGTAAAGAGGGCAGTTTGGAGACACATTCGGTCGGAGAAAAGTCACATCATCACTCCAAAGCAGTATTCAGCACTCGCCAAACAGCTTTGTCCAAATATTCAGGTTGAATTCATTGCCAAGAATGAGATTGATCAACAATCCGCATTCCTGGATGCCAAATGGAAAGGGGTGATGGCAGTCCCCCAAACACACAGACTTCACGGTATTCAATCGTCTGGTGCAGATGAGGTCAAAGTAGCCGATACTTCCAACGGGATGGAAAAATGTTTCCGAGTTTGTCGAATCAGCAACACCAATGTCACTTTTCCGACCACTTCCACAACTGAACAGGATTCTCCAATCGAAGATGATGCCAAACCAAAGCTACAAACACTGAACTTGATGATTGGAGAGTGGGTTATCGTAAACTACGAAGGTGAAGAGTTTCCAGGGGAAGTGACATGTATAGAGGATTCTGATGTCGAAGTAAACGTCATGCATAGAAGTGCAAATGCTTGGAAGTGGCCGAGACCTGAAGACAAAATCTTCTATTCAAGAGACAAAATTGTAAACCCACCAAGTGTTGGCAACCGAGGACAGTTTGTGTTCTTCGGAGATATTTAGTGTCTGTGTATATCTTGCTTTGTCTGACAGTTCTTAGCTATACTTAGAATTTCATTTATACTACCCTTAATCTCACACGTATGTCCGTCACAAAGTTTAATGAGGTAATCCTATAATTTTCAAGTGTTAGGCTTTGCGCATTAAACAATACTTCTATGCGTTAGCATGAACATTTATAAAAACAGTAACTTCACAGAGTTTTTGTGTTAAACATTCAGATTTCTCATTTTTGTGCCTCCCCCACCCTTGTATTTGGAAGTGAAAAATTATTTTTACCAATGTCTAGCCCAGGTCAAGCCTTTGCTGTGAATATGTAATGTATACAGATTTACCCTTTGTGAAACTAGCTACACCTCAATATGTTGTCTGAATTGTACGTCCGTCACACCGGAATTGCCCTTTTAGGAGCAGCTGGTTCACAAAATATACTACATATGTAGTTGATAATAGGCTCCATGGACAGTAGATGAGATCTAAATACTTACTGCAGTCAAAACAGCAGCGATACGGAAGCGTGTGTGAGAGAAAATAGGCTATTGCGATGTAGTGTGATCTATAGTGTGGGCTTCTTCGGTGCACAGCTTTTCTCTCTTGTAGAGGCCATATTTCAACATCTAGGCTTAGCACAGTCATACAAGAGAACTGGCATGTGTCCTAAATATCTATACCTACGCTACTCTGTTGGTGTTTACTCTTTTGCCGTTTCTTGCAGGTGCATACGAGACCTGGAAGTCAATTTGAACATGAAAGAGCACATCTACAGACACAAATTCTCATGATCAGCCTTCTAAGCTTACTATCTAGCCTTTTCAATCATAAATAACGTTAGCTAAAGTCTTTGTATCACTATACCTGATGTATAAGATAGTGTTTGTGACTTTACAAGGTGCATGTATAAACGCGGGTTGTTTGGCATCACAAGAATGCCGCCAACAGTCACTAAAGTACTCCAGGGGGGTTCCCGGTTGTATGTGGGTGTAGCCTCGAGGAGTGGCTGGCTGCTATTGCTGAAAGAGACGCGGGTGAGCTACAGCACCGCTCAAAAAAAGTACCGTACCGTGAGCGAACACTGAGCGTATGCAAAGCGCACCAAGACCGTACCGCGATCAAACCAAGTTTGAGGCGTACCCTATGCGGGGGTGCGGTCCGGTGCGGTCCAGTTCTGGTACCGTGCAGTGCGCGCTTACGCGTATGTTTTGTGCGCGCACAGAACGCTCCTCTGGCTCATCTTGGAACTCCTGGTTTTTGACACGGAGACTGTCTGGTGCCGCAGAAACGTTTTCACGCAGAGATGATCGGCAGAGAAGATGACGACGATCACGCGCAGCAGCTGGCAGGTGTGAAAAAGGTAGGCACGTATGGCTGCCCCTGATCGCGCGCATGCGAAAAAAACGGCAAGTAAATAAGAGCGTGCCGCAATGAACCACACTCTCAATAACGGAGCGTATTCAAAGCAAATCAGAAGCGCACCAACATCGTACCTCGAGCGGACCACGAGCGTACAACACTGTAGGTACTTTAACTTTTTTTGAGCGGTACTGTAAGTAAACGCAATGCGTTTGTATGTCACAGCGTCTGTGACATCTGTCCGTACGGCAGGGTAATTCCTATCACATACGCTATGACATCCATCCACAATGAGTTAATAATGGTACGGCATTCCCTTGCACACAGTTGAATAGTTTAACAGTGACAGTGCATGAGAAACTAACTAACCAATTCCCCCACTGACGTGACAGGTTTTGTCCCTGATCTCTTCCCACAACCCTCTCATCTTCCAGGTCACACTTGTTACCAACCAGTACCATTGGCACCTGTGTATACGTATAACACACACCATCAAAAATTGATTATTTAAACTGGATACTACTGAAAAAGTAGAAAACACACACGATAACCTACATGGTTATCTGTGCATGGGCAGGGTTGAGAAACGACAATCATTTTTAGTTACTAACATTGATTTCAGTGATTTTTACAACCTGTTCATTTGAGTCTAGCCCCCAGACCCTCTCTCCGGTCCCAGCATGCCCGGGTGAAGCGAGGCCAAGTGCAGAAAGAGATGGTCTAGCCAAACCTCCAGTTGATTGCGTTTTCAAAGAATATCATATATCATTGGAGTTAACAAATCACTTCGATGATACTCAAAACATTCAACTACTGTGGAAAGCAGGCGGAAGATAGCACTGAAAAGTGCATCCCAGGTAGATCTAGTACTGAAGTAGTAGCTACAGGCTAGGTAAGCTCCAACCCTGTAGTGCCTTCATTAACCCTCGGCGCGCATGCGCAGCGAGGGTTACGGTAGTTGGGTCCGTCTGTGTGTCCTTCTGTGTGTCTGTTACTCGACATCTCACTTCTGGAGTGTTTGTTCGTCTCACAAACGATACGACCTACTCAACGGGCAACGAAGGTCAGAATATTTATGGGGTTTTCTCTAAAAATGCTCCGTTGCAAAGCTAGAGCGCTTCAAGCATTGTACGGCTAATGCATAGTCGGCCATTTTTATCGCTGCGGAAAATGCGCATGCGCTTATATTTAGCACAGGCTAGCTTACCTAGACCGGGTCCGCTTGCTCTGTGTATCTTGAAGGCACAAGAAGTCACAACAAATGGCGTTTATCGACTCTCGCATGCTATCTACTACTGTAGCTAGCCCGTGTCAGACTCTCTGCAAGCTACTAGCGGGAGACAACGAGTAAACGCATACTAATACAATTAGCGGTACCGTGCATGCGCAGTTCGCCGAGGGTTTGCACTTTAGTGCTTTTCATTCAGAATTAAGTTCAGCCAGAAATATTTGACACTGAACGTTTGCATGAGAACGCACTAAAACAATCTTTGGTTAGATTTTAAAATAAGCACGGCTTTCTGCAAATTTGACTGTACGCTAACAGAGAGACTAGGAAAAATGGGCTTAAAATAACAGAGTAACGCCCATTTTTGCTAAAACACTCTTTCGTGCGCAGATAATTATTGGCTCATATACAGCTACGGTATAACAATTTGCATATGAAGTACTTAACACGTTGCACGCGTTTATTGCGTACACCCGCAACGTTGTCTACGCGGAATTATTTAAATCACGCGCGCGCGCACACACACCCCTTTTTGACGTAATTTACGTGGCCACTATAGTGGCCCTCTGCGTAGCGCGGAGGAAGATTAACGGCCATTATACTGGCCTTCCGCGCGCAACGAGTTAAGGCAAACAATTTTTGTATTCAGGTGCATAGCGGTTGTTGTTGGAAGTTCGGTAGAAATGCAAAAATGTGTTGGTCTTACCAGCACACCTTCTTTAATGAACCTATGATTAGCATTTTGGATATTACATATAAATGTGCACTGCATTTTTAACACCTGATGCGTGCACACGCATGTTTTTGTCTTGCAATGTAGTAGGAGACAAATAAATTTCCATTTTGTACCATAAAACGGTAAGAACAACTTTGTATCGTCACCATTACACTTGTGAAAAACCGTTTACAAAAATGGTTTAAAAACCAGTCGTGCAACACCTAAGTGTGTACATATACAACTGCAAGACTGCCTTAGAGGATTAAACTGCTTGGAGAGAAGCTTGCTAGGCTAAACAAAAGGTAACTCGGTAAGAAATAACAGGTAAAGTCGTAGACTGTGCAAAAGACACGAAACAGCTTGGGATAGAGTAGAGTTGCATTAGTCCTGGCAACTAGAGGAATATGTAAATTTGTGTACTTACATCGTCCTGGTCTTTGACACGCAGTATTTGTTCCCTCAGGTCAGCAAGATCATTGAAGGTGGCTTGAGACGTGATTGAATAAACCAGCACAAACCCTTGGCCATTCTTCATGTACAGGTCTCTCATTGCAGTAAATTGTTCCTAGTAAGGAGCAAAAATTAAAGCCTACACGTATCTGAAACGGTTTCTTAGAAAGGCATTATTCAGATATCCTGACCGGCATGAGTAAAACTCCCTTACATTCCTAAAAGTCGGAAAACTTGTGTACTTCCACAAATCCCTTATATTCATAAAAGTCACAAAACTTGTGTATTTCCGCAACGTGAGTAATAGGATTGTATGATGCCTTCTATAACAAAGGGTTTTCCACAAACAGGTAGTGGCTGTGAAGTAAATGCCTGCTTCACGAAAATTTCCTTTCATCATGCACTTGTTGCTATGAAGTCATGGGTATCGCTCATAGGCCGCCCAATATCCGGTAGGCCAGAATAAACAGACAGAACCCACACACACATACAGACCAACTATACACTGTAACTCTCACTGTGCATGCATGCCGAGGGTTAATGGCACTAAAACAATCGTTTTAGTTCATCAATGGCAAAAAACAAATCTAGCTACGCATTTAACAAAATATGGAACCCCAAATATTGTATACTAACATTATGCATGGGAATATTTTCGGCATGCTCCACACATTATTATTACGCCTGGGAGTATTTTCGGGAAATACTCCCACGCGTAATTATAACGTACGGGGCATGTGTGTGTGGAGGAGGGAGAAGGCCTGGTTTCGAGGTTACAGCATCTAGCACTGCATTGCCTTGCGAGGACCCGCCTGTTGCGCATACACATTGTAGTTGTTGACTGCTTGTCATGCTTACACTTTGGGAATGGAAAACAGGTAAGCAGTTTAACTTTATTCCTTGAGACTTTACGAGGAACAAACAATTCAAATTAACAGCAAAGAACGGCAGTTAACTGCAATTTATCTTCAACTCTTCCTAATTCAACACGCTTTGCTCCCTCTTTGGCAATGGTCCAATCGGATACAGGAACGAAATGAAGCCAAGTGTGATCTCAATTAATAGCGAGCTCGGGAGACTTTTCCTCAAAATCGGAAATTCAAACTGGCCTTTGCACTTCATAGACCTTTGTTTGATAAATCCTTAACTTTGAAGGAAGCTCACCACCCAGTGCTTAATGTGACCACAGCATTGTGTTTCTCCAATACCACTGAAGCACATGCTGCACATGCTGCTAAAGTCATAGTCATAGGTTCATAGTCATAGGTTCCTTGAAAGTCATAGAACCAACGTTTTGCGTCTGAACGCGTTCGAATGCTTAATTCACCGACGCGCAAGACGCATTTTACGTTTGTGTGCGTTTGCGCAAGAGAAATGTTTATTGACTAGGCATCCTACGTGCGCGTGCATGCGTCTGAGCGGGCCGGCCGCTTTGAGGGCGTTGACGCTCGGCGTTTGCGTACAAGCGGCCAAAAACGGTTCCATCGGTAGCACTGGTCAAGGTCTATAGTATAAACTATTTTTATCAATAGCACAGCTGAAATGTTCATGATTTATAAAGATGTTTGGTATCTTTGATTTTCTCGGCCTTGTTTTACAAGTCATCAACATATTCATATTCCTCCTCAATATATTCTCTATGGGAGCAAAAACCAGTACATGACTTTACCGGGAGCAAACGGTTCCTCGCAACACACGCAGTGGCGTTCTTCCTGCCTCCTACAGCATGTGCATGGGTATTAGCCAGCACAAAAAATAGGTGTGTCCACATTCTGAGCATTATGACCTTTGGCAAGCAGGGGCTACGCCAAATTTTTTGCTAATACGCCTGCGCATACTGTAGGATGCAGACAAAGCCACCGCGAATAAAAAAAGTTAATCATTGGCCATGCGCTCGAATTGCGCCCACAAGCACGACTACCTTAAAAGTAGGGTGCACTTCGTTTTTTATCCTTCACCTTGTCAATTGGCTACTTTAAATCATTCGCGCAACTCAGTTTTGCACTTCTTTATCCATGATCTTATATAATTCTTGCCGCCCAGCATACTGCTTCTCATGTTTTCGTATAGTTTTAGTAACCCTTATTTCGACAGAACACCTCGCTAACATTGCTTAATGCTCGGCATAAAAAAATTCATACTCACCATGACCCCTTTTCAGAAGGGAACAGAAGCTAAACGAAAAAGAACAGAATGAAAATAGAATCATTTTCTGACCCCTACTGTACAGCTGACAATGGCCTAGAAGGAGCAGGAAATGGGTTCTCTTTCGCCCTGAAGCACAGTACACGCCAAAAAAAGTTCCCACTACCGTACCGTAGTACGGTCACACTGTAGTAAGAACTATGGTCTTGCTACGCCGTAGCAACACCGTACTACGGTGGAAGCCGTAGACCTGTTCTTAGCTTACGCTCAGCTTTAGAAACAACGCTCGTTGCTTGCTAGGCCTTTAGCTGCCACCGTTTACTTTAGTACGGTGGGCCACACCCTCGCAGTGTATCGCAACTACGGTGCTCTACGGTCGACCGTAGATTCGCCGTAGAAGCACCGTAGAAAATTTTTATACAGTATCACCGTACTACGGCGGCGTAGTGGGAACTTTTTTTGGGCGTGTACTGTACTTGCATAATGCCGTTGTCGCATGTTCTGTTGGCCACGCTCACACGGCTTAAAATTCATGACAGAAGATTTGTCGCGAAATTAGCAAAGGTATAGCAGCATAAATGCACGGTATAACTTAGCGTCACAATTTCCACATTACACCGAGTTGATCAACTGCTCATAGTACCTGCAGTGTCCCATCGTAGTAGTGGGAATTACTTCTGGATTTTAAAAATTCCACACGCAATTTCTCCAAAAAAATACGCACGAAAGGGTGAGCACGTGTTTGCGTAGACCTCTTGAATGGAAGCAGCTGATAGCCATTCGCTGATGTATGTATGAAACATGAGTTGCACATTCAAACAATATATAACTCAACTGTTTCTGTGGGAAAATGTCCCCTCGCAGTGTCCCCTCGTAGTAGTGGGCATTCATTACTTCCGCCAATGCAAAGTAATGGGAGTAAAAGCACCCAAAGATGGTAACAGCTGCGAAATATCGCGCTTTTACACACTCAAGCGGGAAGTCACGGCAATTTACGCGGACTGAGCGTCCGCGCGTAAACGCGCGACAGCGTGCTCCACCCACAGGCGTCCGGCGTATTCTATACGCTCACGCTATTTCGCGAAACGCTTCCACGCGCATAGCCGCGCAATAACACACCCACGTTTGTGCGGAATAGTGCTCTAAAGTGTACATACTTGCAGGTGCGACCACGCTTGTGTACACTTTACTGCGTAATGGCACGCCCACGGCGTGTGTAATAACACGTAGTAAACCACTGCAAAATTATGCGCCTATAACCGAGCTTGCCCGCATTGTTTTACATGGGTGGATTTAAAAACATTCCACACACTATTTCGCAAAAAACACGCATGAAACGGTGCGCAAATGTTTGCGTAGACCTCTCGAACAGAAGCAGCTATGATAGCCATTCGGTGTTGTATGAAGCATGCATTGCACATTCAAATACATAACTCAATGTTGATTGTCCTGTTGCGGGTCACAACACGTATTACAATGTACAGTACAGCTCACATGGAATGTGAGCGTCGAATGCAAGCGCTCGTACTCACGAGCCGAGGGGCAAGTGCTGGAAGATTTACTAGCGAGGACCCTCGCCCTCGAGCACTCGCACTTGACCGCTTCGAGTAAAAACTCAAGCGCTCGATAGTACATATGGCGGAGCCCTGACGAAACCGGCTAGGCTAAGTGCCCCATAAGAGGCAAGCAGAGAGCTTACACCTATAACTAGAATGAGTAAGTGGCATTGCATAAATAGGCCCTTTGTCAATGCCAAGTACCCCGACTACGTACGTACATGTGCCTGATAATATGACGGTCAATAACAAACCTGGGCTATGAGCTCGAAACAAGCGCGGAGGATGATGCAGCTACTTAAGTACCTACACAACTTCTACAGCTAACTACGGACTGTCGTAGTCAGTTTTAGACACGTGGTGAAGCCTAAAATCTGTTGGTTTTTTCTCCCATAGTAAAATCAAAAGGTATAAAAAAAATTCGACAATTATCTGGTGTTCTAGTCATGCAAATCATAAAATGTCCACACAATTTGGCTGAATTGTCAACTCACAGTGCCAGCTGTATCAAGGATCTCTAGCATACACTGGGCACCATCCACCTCAACTTGCTGCATGGTTAATGGCATACTGTTCATCCAAATCAAGCACTAGTCAAAATATTATACTGCACCATGAGGTAATCACTAGAATACCTTAAGAGTACAGAGATTGAACCTCGGTCAGCTATGACTAACCCCTTAGTGAACCTGGAGCAGGCCAAGAGTGGACCACAACTAGATCATGTGCTACCACTGTCACCAGGTTAGTAATCATGTGCTACCACTGTCACCTGGTTAGTAGTGAGAACTACAATTAAATAATTAACATGCATGGTGCTTACAGTCCCCTTGAGGAACATTCTCCTTGTGGTCAGTGAACAGGTATTTGCTAATGGTTAAAAAACAGTTGGAAAATAGTTCAAAAACAGTGATGTGTGAAACCATGAGCTTGTAAGAGAAGTGCATTGGGCCAGGACAGGGACAACTGCTTGCAGGGGCGACTAAAAACACAAGGGTCACCTAGGAAAATACGTCCAATCAGGTATGAAAAATAGAGGAGAGAGACAGCTAGTAGTATTAAGTGGTAGCTACGTGTATATAGTAGTATGTACATTTCCTTCTGTTCCGTAAAAAAAGGAGCAGTAATTGAATTTGTTGAGAGCTGTATTCTTTGTTACTGACACATCGCTGACTATTGCAAGCTTAGTATGGTTTTATGGAAATAGGGTTGAGTAAAAGGGAAGCAATGGAATGTCTGTTCTGTTCTATGTAAACTTAACCAATTTTTGGTGCATACATGTATTTCATTCATATGCACAGCAAAGCAAATCATTTCTTCCCACATTATGTGACATTCCAGGCCATTAGGGCCAGTGGTAAACTAACCCAATATTCAGTAATGCTACAAGAGATTATTGTACACAAAAAACGGATTATAAAAAGGATATAAAACTTGCCTTTCGATAAGAATCCTCAATGGTTGGGTCATACTTCTCCACAAAAATACCTTGAACAAACTGAACAGTCTAAAAAAGAGCAAAAAACGAAGCATGCTTACACATTAATTATGAGAAATACGTGTAGCCGACAACTTCTGTGACTTATTACGCGAAGAAAACAAGAAACCACAAACATACATGTAGATGTCTCTACCAGGGCAACACAGTGAACTGCTTGAAACCAAGGGAGTAAAGCTACATAGCATATTGACAAGATGCGCAGACAAGCGACTATAGGCAAGTCTAGCACAAAATGTACTATCCGAGTTCCAGCGCATGTATATACAGTATACGCCAAAAATAAGTTGCAACTACGCCTGGTGAGACCGTAGTAAAACTTTCTACGGTGCTTCTACGGCGAATCTACGGTCGACTGTAGAGCACCGTAGCCGCGAAACGCTGCGAGGGTGTGGCCCACCGTCGTAAAGTAAACGGTGGCAGCTAAAGGCCTAGCAAACAACGTCTCTACCAGGGCAACACAGTGAACTGCTTGAAACCAAGGCAGTAAAGCTACATAGCATATTGACAAGATGCGCAGACAAGCGACTATAGGCAAGTCTAGCACAAAATGTACTATCCGAGTTCCAGCGCATGTATATACAGTATACGCCTAAAATAAGTTGCAACTACGCCTGGTGAGACCGTAGTAAAACTTTCTACGGTGCTTCTACGGCGAATCTACGGTCGACTGTAGAGCACCGTAGCCGCGAAACGCTGCGAGGGTGTGGCCCACCGTCGTAAAGTAAACGGTGGCAGCTAAAGGCCTAGCAAACAACGAGCGTTGTTTTTAAAGCTGAGAGTAAGCTAAGAACACTATATAGTGTTGTAGCGCAGTCGTGTCTAGCATCGCTACTGCTGCTTGCTATCGCTTCTTGCTCTCCTTGCGCCCGCTAAGCGCGCTGATGACGCGACATGCGCGCGTGCGACCGCGCATCAACATGGCAAGAGCAGCCCATCGATCGCCTGGCCGTCAGCGCTGTCGCTGTGTGAACGCCGTGTGGATCTCCTGGCTGTAGCTAGCAAAAGCTGCATGGGGCCACGTTCACCCTCACTGTGCATGCACGCCGAGGGTTAATAAACATGATGTACGTACCGCAAAAAAGTTACATCACCATCCCTGCTACCGTTAACAAATTTCTGGAGTGAAAAAGAAATTTTAAGAAAGGTGGCTGAGGCATTCACAAACATCCGGTTGTCATGGTAATACGCACGCGTAACAAGTTTCGTCTCAATTTCTGCTACTGTTAGACAGTTTGAGGAGTTAAGATGTAAAAGTGTCAGAGGCTGTTTGTTTTCGTTTTTCATTTACAAACATACGCACACATACAAAGTTTCATCTCTACTATTAGCAAGTTTTACAAGCGAATTTTAAAGAAAAGTGCCTAAATGTTGTGTACAAACACGAATTGCTGTCTTTTGATGTCGGAAACTAAACACATTCTCTATACAATATTTCATTCAACTACTTGTGAGTTACAGTAACACACGTGTGACCATTAAAACGTACTGCCTGAGGCGTTTTGCGTGAAAGGTACAATCCTGCGCAAATATTGAATGTTGTTTACAAAATGTATTGCTGTGTTACTGATACTGTTGACTAAATTTTAATACAAACCTTCATTTACATGGCTCTCACCACTTTCACTAAACACGTGTGCCAATTATAACGTACTGCCTGAGGTGTTTTTTTTACAACTTTGTTCACACAAAAAACAGCTTCTTTGCGTTCCTACAAATTTCATGTGTCGTCGTTATTTCGTTGGTTAACCTTTCGTCATGAAGAACAACAAAACTCCCTATCAGAGGACCCCATACATCTATGATGCTAGTACCTTGCCCACCCCCATACTACTACCATACTTAGTGCACATATCCTACATGAAACTTTGCATAAACCGAGTTTAATTTTTTAGTGCACACACAATGCCCTCTCTCCCTTTCTCTTATATCCCTTCCTTATTACAACATCTGAATTGTATCCTTGGAAATGGTTCACAGTGTTACATGCAGAAGCACAAATGTCAAAGGATAAAAGGAAATCCCATCCACTAATACCAGTTAAAAGCTTAGTAGTCTTACCAGTGCACTTTTCCCTACACCTCCTGAGCCAAGTACGACGAGTTTGTATTCACGCATCCTGCAATTAGGGAAATCCATAAGAAGGTGCCAAATTAACCACAACTTATGCTATAGCTTTCTTCTACTTTTATTCGTCGTGGCCTTAAAATAATTATGAAGGCTTTACACGCTAGCAAACACTAGCAAACACGGACACATTCATAGGGTATCTAATCTAGCGACCTAAGAAAAACAACTGTAATGCCCTAGAAAGACCTTCCTATCCAAACTCTTAACGCTAATACGAAGTACACGTCATTCACGCTGAACAGCCAGTCAAACAACCTAAATACTGTAACTCACCTTCGATGACAACCCAGTAGTAGTGTCTAGCGTCGTTGTGCAGCAATGGCCAACCACAATCAATCAGACCGCCCTAAGAACGACGTTACTACTATTTTTAGAACACACGGTGCGGCTATTTTTAGAAGGGCGCACAAAATTACAAAGCCGCATAGATCTAGAGGTATATATCCACAATTAATTATTCATGAGGACGTGGTGACGTTTAGAGGGTGTGGTTTGTCATGGCAGAGCTCGCCTGTTCGGCCTGCGTAGGAAGGCTGTGGAGCGCGAAAAACCGTATGAAGTTTCGACCTTTCTCGACTAGCCGAGAGTTGCGGATTAGCGGGGAAGGAGTGGGGATGAGTGTGCGGGATACCAAGGGTGTATCGCGGCATAAATCTGGGATAAAGTGGGGGAATGGGTATAGAATGAGGGGAGGGGAGAGCAGTGCAAACGGGTTTTGTTTGGGTTCATCGTGTAACGAAAGGGGAGCTAAGGAATATTGTGATGAGAAGGGGAAGGGAGGGGGGGAAAGGAGGGACCCGTCACGGACGGTTCTTGAAACTAGACGCGATAGAAATTCAATGACGGGGCTAATAAAAACCGTTAACGCTCCTCTCGTAAACGAACCGGCCGCGCCGCCAGCGCAAGAGGCAGCAGGGGACTCGGGGTCAGGTGTGAAAGACGGCAATACCGCGTACTAAATTAAAGGGGCGTGGTCACCACGTACCTCTGGTCGGCGGCTAATCGCGCGACGTGTACACTGGTCTATCTAATGACAGGGGCGTGGTCGTCGTCATGCGCATGTCCGTGTTAGGCGTAGTATCGAAGAAAAACTGGGCAAAAACTGCAGCGTGTCGCAACATAGAATGGGCAAGAAACGCAGTGCGTATCGTATTTAGGTCGAGATTTGCGCAGCAGTCTAACGAAAGTATGGCTACCCGCGTCTTTTTTTGGCATGCGACTGTCGCCTGTTTCCATTTGGAGAGATGTTTTGATGGAATTGATGGAATACTAGATATATGCGCAGAACTTGGGCCCATCTGCACGCAACTAGACATGCTGACTGCCAAGGGGTAAGTAATAAAATTGAAGTGTTATAAGAAGTAGCATAATTTAACATCAGTGCACTGTGTGAGAATGCTAGAATGTCTTTGCAATGGGCAGATCTTGGTGGTGTCCACATGTGTAAAGGACGAAATCAATACGTGATGGCGAGTTTTCTTTCTAAAATCACGGCTTCCACTGAGAAGTGGGTCTTGCTTTGGTGCATTTTCTGCTGGCGGCAGTTCCCTGTCAGACCTACAGCAGACTAGATGCTGATATGCAGTAAAAGTACAGGCGATTGATGTTTACCAGTGTTGGGGCGTAGGTATGCTCAACAACCCTCCTTAACACTTACTCGCGATAGTGTTGGGGGGTGTAAAATGGAGATAATTGTGGAGAATAGATGAGCTCGTCTGTTTACACACAAGAGCAAACCGAAGGTGTTTGTAGAATATGGGTAAAAACTTGGGCGTAACTTGCTGTGGCTTTTGGTCTGTCGCCCTTGGCCAGCAGCATCACCGTGGGCGATCCCTCCCCGAGTGATCTCACCATCAGTTATGGGTCCTTTTGGTAATGGTGAAGCAGGCCTTCCAGATCTCTTCAGAGTTTAGCATTCACAGCAACCCGCCCCCCCCCCCCCCACTCACCACTACTGCAGCACGCAACAGGCATTGCATTAAGCGTACTTGACCACCACGCCCGGCGACCCTCTTTCATTTAGAGTATACGAGTCTATATCTATATCAGCCCCCGCGACGATTGCTTACGGCGTAACCCGTCCGGCGCGCATAATCGCCAGAGGTCAGATCTTCAATACTGATCCAGACTAGGTACTAGGATGAGGCATTGCGCCCGTTTGGTGTGCAGATATCCTTTTCATGCGTTTGGTTAGGACCGACCACGAGTGGTCGTCATTGCTACCGTTCAGCCGTCGGGGCTGCCTCTTGCTGTTACATTTTTTCGCGCTCGGTCCTTTGCAGTCGTCTTGCTTCGCGTTCGTTCGCTGTGATGTCTACATAGTCGCCTGGCATCCCCTCTGACTGTGTCGGGAGCCGACACGGACGCACGTATTCTCCCCCCGAGCGAACTTTAACGACTCTGATGATAGCCACGTTGGCAACCACGTCTGGAGAGTTCGGCCAACATGACTATTGCAACCCTGTCATGTTCCACACCCGTCTCATCAGCTTCGTCCATCAGCAGCTTGTAAGTAATTCCTGTTAAGGCCAGGGTCCGGGCACCCCAGGGGCATAGCTTTGTATGAGACTGGGCACTCCGAGCACCCGGGATGCCTCCGCTGCTGTCGACATTTTTAGGGCAGGTGTATTGCTTTTTCGGCCTCGGCGCGTTGTCACGTGTGGCCGGGTACACTGCTTGATCCCTCAAGTGTGCTGTTCTATCGCTTGATACGTATTTCTTGCTTCTCCCCTCGCAGGTCTGGCTAGTTGCAATTCGCTACCTACTCATGATGGCCTCCGCCGGCAGCAGAGACCCAACAGCGCCACCCGGGTGTGTCCCGCTCATCTTTGCCTTAAACGGGCGCGACAAAGCCGTCGAGGACGCCTCGCCTCACTCCCTTACCTGCTATTCGGCTCTGTCGCCACCGAAGCTCGTAAGAAATCGTGTCGAAGGAGTAGGCAGAGCCTCGGCAGCCGCGAGTCCTAGGCAGGACAAGCAGATGGTCGTCCTGTGCTGCCGGATCACGACGGCTGTCTTGCGCAGTCTGGTTTACCGACATAAACGTCTGGAAGGAGTGCTGGTTCGTTCATATGGCGGCTAACCTCACACATCGCTTTCAGTCTTCCAGAGAAAGCGACACATTTCTCCACGTATTTGCGGACTGATTACCAATTCAGATGCTAAGCCGCCAAGCCACGACAGCGCTATCCTTCGCCTTGCTTTTCTCAGAGAACCCACCGCACATTTCTTCCCACGTATTTGAGGACGAGTTAGCAAGGCAGGATCCGCCTCCTTTGAGAGCTCGCCTTCTGGGCGCCTAACGATATGAATTTCGGCGCAGGTGGCGCAGACCGTCGGCTCCGCTGGGATTTGGGGGCTCTTGTAGACTCATTACAGCTCCTCTCCATACGATGTCAGTTTGGCGGGCCCGCCGGGCTAGGTAATCGGATGTTGGCGGTATCTCTACTGCCATGGGCCGATAGGCATGCGTCCCAGAGTGATTCAACGCCCCTGCATGAGCACTCCAGGGATCCATGCCTAGCCATGAGGGATTCGGCTACCAACGAGTGCGGCGTTCGCTGAGATCTAGTCAGTGTATTCAATTCCTCATCCGGGGCTTCTAGGGCTGCCGCTTCCTCAGTGCCACTTTGGTGCGCGAAGTGCGACGGGCCCACGTCTGGGCTGTGCGGCGGAGTGCGGAATAGGCGGCCAGCAGATCCAGGCAACCAGGCAGCAAGCCTGTCCAAACGCCTGTAGAGCCATCCCGCTCTCGGCTGCGCTAGAACCCTGGCCAGCCCCGGCAAGACACTCAGCAGCTTAGTTGCTAGGTAGCTATTATTAGTACGCTAGGTTGTTAGTACATGGCGGCACGCTCCTGTGTGGGGGACCTTGCAATAAGTGCTTGATTATTTGTATGTCGCGGCTCAAGTAGTAACAATCAGGGTGTACAATCATAAGCTAATGGGCCACTCCCCCACTTCGCAGGCGCGTCTTGCTAGCGGCGTATCTCAAAGGCACTGGCGGCTTAAGATTCGCATCGTGCATCAGCCTAGAAACGACGATTGATGGGTGCAGACACACCCAATCGGTAGCCGGCAACATCACTGGCTCATATGGTCATCCCTGCCTATTGACTGATTGCCTGCAATTATAAGCATGTGGCATCTAGCAAGCTGGCTGGGCGCAACCCGACAGGGTGGTTCGTTGATATTGCTGGTAGACAGGCCTTTGAGGGCATCGAGGGCTTCGTGTTGTATGATTAAGCCTTCAGCGGCAATGTAACACACTCGTATAGCTGTTTTCCCTCCCAGCAATATGCAGTCGCCAGCGGCTCCACCTGGCAGTGATCAGCAGTGCTAACGCATAGTCCTTAAGGAGTGATTGGAGGGAGGATGTCCGGGGGTGGCCCCTTCATCCAAAGGTCAGAGATCACCAACAGAAGGTGGTGGTCCCGTAAATGGGCCACACCCTGACTCGGATGGAGACTGATCAGCTGACGAGGGGACTGTCCGCACCCAGAGAGGTGAACGTAAATGATTGGATTGAGGCCTTCAGCATGTGCTCCGGCTCAGTACAGCATCAGTCGAGGTTCGTGGCAATGGCAGCCGAACTGCTGGGCATAGGTCATTAGTCGTTGCAAAGCTGGACATCAGATGCAGCGTACGCGGCGTTGTTCCATTCCACCACATGAGCCGCTACCTACCCTGGCTGGGGGTGGAGTGGGGGTAGGCACTATGGTGAACAGTGCCACTTCCTTTGTCCTCCATCCCCGCTCAGCCCCGAAAATCGTGAGAGATCTGCTTGATGTGGGGTTGTCCGGCTGTAGACCATTTCTGGATCGATCTGCTCATTACCATCCGGCCGCCCAAGAGCTCCTCTACAAAACTATACGAGCAGGATACAGGGCAGTTTGCAACCGATTGGGGTGCCTCTTGCAACGTCCATGGACAACTCGAGGTCCCCTCGCACCTGGCCTGACTCAATTCCTCGGCACGAGGCTCGATACCAGGCAGGACTCATGTATCTCCAGCGGGGGAGCACCTGTCGTGCTCAGGGATCCAATGCCTGGCCCAGTGAGTCATCGGATGAGTCTATGTCGGCGACAGGATCTGGAGTCGTTGATCGGCACTCGCAGAAGCATGCAAGTGCCGTGTGGTGAGACCACGGCGAGCATTCGTCTGCAGTGGCGAATCATCGACCTGGCCTCCGTCACAGACTGGGCCTGCCGAGTGTCCAGCCAAGCAGCACACTACTCAGACTCAATCCCGTGAGTTCGCGGGCTAATCTGTAGTTGTGAAACGTTTGCCGGGGGCGGTTGCTGGACGGGGTGTAGTCACGTCCCTGCAGTCGGGGCATCCTCAGCCCAGACGATTCGTCGTGACTTCTGATGCACTTCCG